ATACTCAATGGATCTTAATTTCCCTCAATATTAATGGTCTTAACTCGCCTATAATAAGACACAGGCTAACAGATTGGATACGAAGATAGAATCCATCCTTCTGCTGCATACAAGAAACACACCTCGAATTCAAAGACAGCTGGGGTAGCTATCCTAGTATCTAACAAGTTAGACTTCAAACTAAAATCAATCAAAAGAGATGAAGAAGGTCATTTCACATTCATCACAGGAAAAATCCATCAGGAAGAAGTCTCAATTCTAAACATCTATACCCCAAATACAAAGGCACCAACATTCATAAAAGAAAAATTATTAAAACTCAAATCACAAATAAGACCTCACACAGTTATAGTGAGAGACTTCAACACCCCACTCTCACCACTGGACAGAAACTTAACAAAGAGGCAAAGGAAATAACAGAAGTTATGACCCAATTGGGATTAACAGACATCTATAGAATATTCTATCCAAACACAAAAGAATATACCTTCTTTCAGCATCACATGGAACCTTCTCAAAAACCGACCACATACTTGACAACATAGCAAACTTCAACAGGTACAAAAAATTGGAATAATCCCCTGTGTATTATCAGACCACCATGCCTTAAAGTTAGAAATCAAAAACAAAACAAATTGCAGAAAACCTACCAACTCATGGAAATTGAAGAACACGCAATTGCGCCATTCCTGGGTCAAGGAAGAAATAAAGAAATTAAAGAATTCCTAGAATTCAATGAAAATATAGACACAACATACCCAAACTTATGAGACACTTTGAAAGCAGTACTAAGAGGAAAGTTCATAGCTCTAAGCACTCATATGAAGAAACTAGAGAATAGTCACACCAGGGAATTGACATCACAACTGAAAGCTCTAGAACAAATGGAAGCAAATTCATCCCGGAGGAGTACATGCCAGGAAATCATCAAACTGAGGGCAGAAATCAATAAAGTCGAAACAAAGAAAACATTCAATGAATCAATGTAACAGAGTTGGTTCTTTGAGAAAATCAACAAACTAACCAAAAGGCAGAGAGAGAACAAGCAAATTAACAAAATCAGAAATGAAAAGGGGGACATAACAATGGACACTGAGGAAATCCAGATAATCTTCAGGTCATACTTTGAAAACCTGTACTCCACAAAATTTGAAAATGTACAGGAAATGAACAATTTTCTGGACAGATATCACTTACCAAAATTGAATGAAGAACAGATAAGCAATTTAAT